AAATGTGCATTTAAATTTCAAAATGTAATTTCTTAAATTTCTTTTTCTATGGCATCAACTATAACATTTCTTCTTTCACTTTTTTCTTTGTCTAGCTGAAGGTTTGTAACTTTTAGAGGAAATATCTCATTTTTTTGATATTTTTCATTTATCTCTTCTGTAATATTTATCATTCTCTTTCTTCAGATAACTTTTGGATTCATTTGTTCTTTTTCAAATTCCTAGATGATGCACCATTCATTATAATGTATTTGCAATAGTTGAAAGATAATATGTTCCCTCAGGAAATTGCAGTATAATATAAATAAATGTGCATGCATATATTTGAACAGTGAAATATGTAAGCAATAAGATAAGTGTGTTATTATCTAGTAGAATAGAGAAAAGTTTCAGAAAAGACTTAGAACATCGACATACACAATGTTCTCACTAAGAATTTGTAAGGAGGAGTAAACACCACATAAATGTCAATGATAAGGTCAAATATACTAGAAGCCACTTGAAAAAAATTGAATTTGGTGTTGCTGGTTCAGGCTATTGAAAAAAAAAAAAACATGATAAAGGAGTCAAAGTTCAGATCACTGAGGTCTTCCTTCTTATTCTGTCATTGATGAAATCTACAAATAGTATTGATGATAACAGAAATTGTGACCTCAAGAATAAAAACATAGACTTGTTGAAGTAGTTTATGAAAAACTAGAGACAGTGGCAGGTGCTGTACCACTGAGCTATATCCGTAGCCCTACAACACTTTCTTTAAATCAGGAGTCTGAGTATTAAACCTACTTTCTAGGTTTTTCTTAAAATACTTCAAAAAGTCTGTTTTCATTCTTGAGATCCCAAGTTCTGCTATTATCATCTGTCAATCATGAGGTCTAGAGTCTGAATCCCAATATAAAAAAAAATTAAAGAAAAAAAGCATTTTAGGCATGTAAATATTACATATATTGAAGCTTCTGAATATATGGGAAAAAAACTTGTCATGTGCTCATGGGAAAAAGTGAGGTTCTTGAGAGTGGAAGTCAACTGGGATGAAGGAAAATTTATTAAAGATGTTGGAGGCCTAGCTTTAGAATTAATAAAACAAATTATGGAGATTTTATTTATGTGGAAATACATGTTGTTGAAGCATGGGTGTTCCAAGTATTTTAGGAGTGGGAATTCTACCTGAAAATATATGAAAAGCACATTGAGTACCCGCTTTGAATATTTGGAGGAAAATTATTACTAGTTGAATCTACCTCTTTGATAAAAATATGTCCTAAAAGTCTAATAATTTCCGTTATCTTCAGTTATCTGGGATGCTAGATATTGTGAGATTCTGATGCTCATTATCAGAGGACTCCAGTAACTTTTTGAATTTTGAATACGAAATTATTTTGCAGTAGGTTTAAACTTTCTGGAACAAGCAGATTGCATCTGTAGTTATTCTAATAAAATTATTTGAATAATCAATATAGACAACTAATGTATTTCTGATACTCCTTACAATTCTTAGATTTTGAACAAATAATAACCTGGAATTTCTAAGGAATACAGATGTATAACTTGCTTATGGCTATAATTTCTTTGATATTGAAACACATGTTTGTGCTCTAATGTTTTCCTCTACACAAAACTAAAGTACCCCAGAGAAAGAGGCAATATGGCCACAGTTCTTTTAAAGTTCTGCTATTCTTTATAATAATTTTATTATACATTAATCTTAGAATTTATAAACACCCTCTAGAAACATGAAGTTGCTTTTCTTTGAGCAAATATATCCTATCTTTGGGTTTATAACAAAACAATTGGAAGACTGTTATCCTTTGAATGAAATGATTCTTTACCCGACTTATCTCAATTTCCTTCTAAGCAGCAACTTTCCTCTGGGCATTTTTTAATATTGCACACTTTATAGAAATCCATTTTAAATACAAATAGAAGAACACGTGAAGCATCTACTGTTTTGACTTGTTGACTATCTAGCCAACCAGACTATATTTTTTCTTGAAAGATGGACCCTGTGAGGTCAACATCAGTTCCTCTATACTCACTGAGAATGGATAAAGAATATGAAGTGCGTGTACGATCCAGACAACGAAACTCTGAAAAGTATGGTGAATTCAGTGATGTGCTCTACATAACACTTCCTCAGTTGAGCTCACTTACATGTGAAGAAGGTAAAAAAAAATGTTTAAATGTCAGCTACTATAGCTTTTGGGAATATATCAGTTGATGCATACCTTAACTGTTAGCTTGTTGGGTAGATCAAAATGCATTAACATCAGATATCAAGGTGAGAGACCCTGCACTTACCGTCCACAGCAGGTATTATGTATTGCAAAACCAGAAGGAGCATTTGGTTTCCAAATTATTGAATTCAGGAAAAGTTGTGGGGTAGGTGGAAATTTAGATAGAAAAATGCTACTGTTATTTCTAGATAGTGAAATTGCAGATGAGTTTTCATGTATTTCTATACTTATAAAATTTTCTACAATAAATTTATTTTGGATTCATAATCAGGTAAAATGTCTTTCTAATCTACAGAGAACAAAGTATGTATTTATTTGGATGAATATGTATATTGTATCTAAGCAAGAGCTTCAAGTTGAGTCTATATAACTAGTAATGGTGCTTACTGATTTTAAAAAGAGTCCAGGTATATCTTGTATTTGAAGGAAGGCCTAGTAAATAGTGTGCCAGTCACACTCAAAGGAAATGTGAAACATTTGAACATTCTAAATAGAGAACCATAAAGATGATCAAAGTCTTACAAAAAATAAGATATAGAAATGCAGAATAAAAGACTTAGGCTCTTAGATACAGAAATAAGGAAGGCTGGTTAACATTGAGCTTCCACCAAAAAAAGGAGGGGAGCCAGGGAGATGGCTCAATAGAATAAGTGCTTGCTTGGTAAGCGCAAGGGTCTGAGTTCAATCCCCGGTTCCTCAAAAAAAAAAAAAAGCCACTGAGCAATAAAGTGTGTATTGTTACCACTTGCAAAAGGGAATTATCTATAGCCCATTTCCACTGAAAACAGAAGTTTTTTAGGGCTTTAAGAGTTGATATTTAATAATAGGATAATTCTAAGCTATTAAAATTATATTTCTGCAGTTACTGTACAGACTGAATGTCACCAAATAGCACTAACATGAAAACTTCAATAGCAGCATGTTTTCCAATTTTCATACACGCGCCACAAAAATGAGCACAGCATTTTTTCTAGATTCTAGCTGCCTAGTTTGCTTTTAGAAAGTATTTCATATAAGGAAATCATGGTTTAAAAAGGGCAATGGCCACACACCTTTTGAGCGTAATGATGGCATCTGAGTCAACATTCATAATATCTCGCTGGGAGTTGGTAATAATGTATGAAGTAAGGAAAGCATATTTTAGCATAAAGGTACACTTTTTAAAAAGCAAAGTGAAAAAATAAATAAATTTTTTTAAAAAAGCAAAGTGAGATAAATCCCATGAACCTTTTTCATTTAAAAATTGGCTAAGCCTTTTCTGCTGATGGTGGAACACTGGGAAACAACTGCATAGTTGTTAAGTCGTGAGAAATAAAGATCCTTGTCTTGAGTAACAAATTAAAAACTTTACGGATTTCCCCAAGTCCCACATGGTGTACTGTAAACCGAAGACAGGCATTTCAGAAGGAATACGGTGACTTAAAGCTGCAAAGTTATGTTTTATGCATCTAAGATGTTTCTTCCATGATCCATAACAAATTCTCCATCCCCTTTCTCTTAGTCCAATGAGAAGAAAGTTTTGAATTAATAGTGTTTAGACAAGATATCGTGTTTGCATCTTGTACTATGAGTAACTGCTACGAAGACAACAATATGCAGTGTGTTAATTATTGTACCTGTGCTACTAACCTGCTTTGAAACTGTCTCATTGCTACTTCTTTCTCAATAAAATTATTTTTTAATTAAAATAAAATAAAAACAAATAAAGACTCCATCCCCATTTTTTGACAGGACCTCAATCTAGAAGCTAAATGTATCATCACCCTTTAAAAAAAGTGGGGGGGTGATTTAAGCAGATCTCAGTTAAATCTGACAGACAATAGTAGTTTGGCCTAAAGCAAAGCCCTTAGTGATATTCCTTTGACCAATTAGATGCTTAACATAGATTATTTTGTTTTCTTTTGTTTTGTTGTGTTGTGCGATGTTTTAAACATGTCCATTTGAATCATATCCTTTTAATTTTGAAAAATACCTTCAAAAATAAAAAATAATAAAAAATAAATAAATAAAAATTAAAAAATAAGAAAGAAAGATTTCTTCAATGTTAAAGGACTTGAACAGTAGAAAGAGTCTTAGAACAGAAAAAGAAAACTCCAAGGCATTCTATTGTTTTCAAGGTTATCACATATATTCAAATCAGTAAATATTTTTATGTGGAAACAGTGAAACATGAACTTTGCTTCAACTTTCATAATTCTAAGTGACATATACTTCTGTGTTACAGAATTCCAGTTACCATGGTTCTTAATTATGATCTTTGGAATATTTGGGCTAACCGTGATGCTATTTGTGGTCATATTTTCTAAACAACAAAGGTAGGTTTGTCTTCTTTGATATGTGTTTTACAAGTGTTTAGATTTCCATGGATTCTTTGACATTTGCACTTGTAAATTTTGAGTAGAAACTTTAAATAACCTAGTAAAACATTAGCTCCAGTTATATATTTACCATTTTTGTAAGATTTAATTTGCTGCATTATTTTAGAAATCTTAGACGATTAGAGCCTGGCAGTCCTAGTGTACGTCGGGAGGCGTAGAGCAGTAAGTATACACACCCAGCCCTAGTAGGCAGGGTCTGCTCACTTCCAGACCCCAAGCCATCCCTCAGGCTTGGCCTGCACCTCATGTGCAAGGACATATGAGTAGCAAATTAAAGCCACTTGCCCACTCAGTCTAATAAACATTCAAAAGATTTTATATGATGGTGATTTCAAGTAAATTTAGATTTCCTTTAAATTACGTGCATATTTGTAATTTCACATTACACCTGCATTTGTAAATTCAAATAAAATTACTTCTTCTTTGAAGAAATTCCATCTTGGATTCACTTGGAGTCAAAATTCTTGGGTTCCAGTTACTCCACTGCTGTGGCTCGATCACGCCTGCATCCCTTAACTTCCCTGGATTTCCACATTTTGGTGGGTCATGGGAGGGCATTGGGTCACATGACCTTTACATTTGCTTCATCCATAAGATGGCATCATTCTATTTTTTTTTTTTTTCTTGAAAGAATTTAGTGCACATTTCAGGAAGGTTTTTATGCAAAATGTAGAGAAATAATTGATACAGTTTGTGAGTTTCTTAAATTTAGGATATTCTTTAGAATTTGTTATATTCTTCTCTTAAAATTAGGCCACCTTGCCATTCCCAGGTTGCTTGGGACTATAGGTTTTACACTGAAAGTCAGGATGTCCTTCAATTCTAGGCAACCAAGACAGTTGGTCACCCTACCTACAATTGTAAACCACTTCTCAAGCAGAAGCTAAAACCCATCCACAAGTCAGAGTGGGTTCTATGTGAATATACAGTTACAAATGTTTCACTGGGTTTTGAGTAGCTTAGCGTTTTTTTAAAGAGAATAGAAAAATAATATGTAAGAGCAATTTAGCATTTATAAACTTCACAATACAACTTTATTAGAAACAATTCCAATAATTCCACCATTGGAGAGTGTCAAACGTGTTAAAAGATGCTGAGTATAGAATGTGTTATTTTCAGTAGGTGATTCATGTTTAATTTTATAATGTAAACCAATAGGAAAGTAAAACTGGACTGGGGAGATAGCTCAGTTGCGTAAGCACCTGGCTGGCAAGTACAGGGTCCTGAGTTCAATGACCACAAAAAAAAAAAAAGAAAAGAAAAAAGAAAGTAAAATTTACTTTGAATAATTTCAATTTGCACTTAATTTTCCAGCAACACTTTTATTTGTGTAGATGGATGAATTTATATACAATTAATAGATAAGCCCATTATATATGCAATGCTATTTCCTCCTAATGCTTATAGTAAGTTTGAAGTTACTGTGAAAGCCAAACAGTTGTGTTGTATTCTTTTAAGTATGTTGACAATATTTGAAACAACAAAAAATTCTCTTAACAAATAGAGATTCAAAGAAAGTATACTAACCTTTGTCTCAAACACTTTTTCATGAGCAATGAATTTTAAAATAAAATACTTAGTCAAAATCAATAATTTTAAAATTTGCATAAAATCTTTATTGTACAACCAATTTCCTGTGCCAAATTTAGATCTTTGTAGAAAAGAATCATTTCCTCATTTTGAAATAAAACTCTTATCACTGTCCAGATCTGCATGTTCTACCCTGAAAATAATAGATATAGAAGGACCATGTCTGAATTAGGTAAATGCTTTTTATGACAAACCAAAGGCCAACATCATATTAAATGAGGAAAACCTGAAAGCACTCTCTCTAAAATCAGGAGGAAAAAGATACCAACTACCATCACTTCTACTCAATATAGATTTGAAGCATTATCCAGAGCAATCAGGCAAGAGAAAGAAATAAAATGAAATGTATAGGGAAGGTAAACACCAAATAATCATTATTTATAGATTACATGGTACTCTACATAGAGGATCCAAATAACTACACCCAAAAAACCCTTAGCATTAATAACCAAATGTAGCAATTTACTAGGATGCAAAATAAACACACAAAAACCAATAGTTTTCATATACACTGATGATAAACTCATTGAGAAAGAAATTAAGAAAATAGTAGCATTCACTATAGCTTCAAGAAAAATTATATCCCTAGGAATTAACCTAACCGAGGAAGTGAAAATTCTTATAATGAAAACTACTGTGCTTTGAAAAAGAACACAGTAAATACCTCAGAAAATGGGAAGATAACTCTTGCCCTGGAGAGGTAGAGCCAATACCATTAGAATAGCTATACCATCAAAACTGTTCTACAGATTCAATCCAGTCCCAAAATATTGATAACATGCTTCACGGAACTAGAAAATACACAACCATAAAATTCATATGGAACCAGAAGAGACCCAGAATAACAAAAGCAATCCTGGGCAACAAGTGCAAAACAGGAAACATGACAATACCTGACTTCAAGCTATTGTACAAAGCAACGATAGTAGAAGTCATGGTACTGGTGTAGAAACAGACGCATGGATCAGTAGAATAGGATAGAGGATACAGAAGCAGGTTAGAGATCCCTGGACATGTTCAGCTATTTGATCTTCAAAAAAGAGTCCAAAAATATACACTAAGGAAAGGTAGCCTATTCAACAAATGGTGCTGGGAAAATTACCTACTTGCAGAAGATTGAAGTTGGACCCATATCTCTCACCATGTCATAATCTAAAATCAAATGAACATTTTCAAAATGAACATTAAAACAGAAACATTAAACCTATTGGAAGACATTATAGGTAAAACATTTGAAGTCATAGGTGTAAGAGAGAACTTTATGAACAAAACGCCAATTATATGAGAAATAACAGCAAGAATCAAAAATGATATTATATCAAATTTTAAAAGCCTCTGCACAGGAAAGGAATTGATTTACAGAGTGAAGAGACAACCTACAGAATGGGTGTCTCAGTTACTTATCTCTCATTGCTGGAACAAAACACCGGGTGGCCTAATTTAAGGAAGGAAAGGTTTATTTAGTTTGTGGAGGTTTGAGTCTATACTTGGCTGACTTCAAGGCAGAGATGCACATGGCAGAGGGCAGCAGTTCATGGTGGTGGAAAACAGCAATACAGCAGGAGCAAAACGGGAGGAGGAGGAGCAGGAGGAGGATGAGGCTTTGGGGGACAACTAGATACATCCCATAACAATGGGGAGAAATTTTCCCAGCTATTCTTTTTCAGAGGACTAATACCTGGGCATGGTGGCACATGCTTGTAATCCCATCACATGGGAGGCTGAAGCAGGAGGATCACTGTGAGCTCAAGGGCAGCCTGAACTACATAGCAAGACCTTATCTCAAGAAAGCAAAAGAGGAAGGAAGGAAGGAAGGAAGGAAGGAAGGAAGGAAGGAAGGAAGGAAGGAAGAGAGGAAGGGAGGGATGGAGGGACAGAGGGATGGAGGGATGGAGGGACAGAGGGAGGAAAGGAAAGAAGAAAGAGAGGGAGGGAGGGAAGGAAGGGAGCGAGGGAGGGAGAGAAGGGAGGGAGGGAGAAAAGAAAGGAGGAATGGAAGGGAGGGAGGGAGGGAAGGAAGGAAGGAAGGAAGGAAGGAAGGAAGGAAGAAAGAAAGAAAGAAAGAAAGAAAGAAAGAAAGAAAGAAAGAAAGAAAGAAAGAAAGAAAGAAAGGAAGGGGAAGGGAAGGGAAGGGAAG